TGTAACTGTGTCTCCTACAGCAGCAGTGACGTCTCCTCCTGGCTGGGTCACTTTGTCTTCTCCTTTACACTCTGGGGAAGAACAGAACATGCAGAGGAAGAAAAGAATCAATAAAGATGATTGATTAAAGGAGACAGCCAGTCGGTGTAAAGAGTTACCTCTCCACAGAGCCAGAATCAGGATGTTTCTCAGCCAGAGTTTCATGTCTGCAGTGAGAGGGGAGGAGAGAGAGGAAGAGCTTTGATACTCTGATGGATCTGGCCTCCACCTCATTGGCCCTTCCTCTTTGCCACCTGATGAGCTCTCAACATTTCCTTCACAGCAGGCAGTGTCAGTGTCCTCTTGATAGCGCTGTCACTCAGTCAGAGAAGCAACTGATATGTGGAAATCTTCGGTGAGGTGCTATTGGGTTTTTGTACAGAGACTATGGGTTTCCTGTCACTGTGAGTCTGTCACTGCAGCACAGCAGATCTGCACATCCATCTGGTTTTAATCCTCATTTAATGTCTTGTTTGGTTTTGAGTTCCCCAGTGAAGAATCTGGAACTGTCGCAGTTGTCCTGAACACTGATCATCAGTTGTTGCTTCAGGACAGTGATCCGGTCTGTTCCCTCAGCTGCAGTCTGGCTAACAATAGGTCTGTAACCCCTGAAGCTCAGGAAAGAGCTGAAATCAGCCTTCTCATTTTGGAGGTGGAGGACAGGTGGTGACTGGAAAGTCTGGACCCTGTGCTGCTGTCCATCACTGTTCTGTCTTCGTTTGCTCCTCCTCCTGTTACAGGGTGAAACCCTGAGAAGCTCTGACGTCCTGTGTTCATGGCCTTTTTTCCAGATGATGCTTCAGAGGGAGCAGTAACAGTCTGATCCAACACTGCCTTTGTACAGACAGACTCTGTTGCTGTCAGTCACCAACAACAGTCGCAACCTGTAGGAGCCGTTTGCATCAGTTTTCAAGGCTTCATGTACTTCACTGCTGCAGAGATGATGGGAGGTCACCTGCTACTGATCCCTGAAAAAATCCTCTTCATATGAGGTTTACACACAGTTTTAGGGTCTGACTTTTTTCTCCCTCTGGCACTTTACTTCTTAGCTTTGCACCATTTAAGGTTAGTGACTGGACTTGAGCTGCTCACATGTCAACATGCTGACATACTTCTTTATAGTTGATTAATTTATAATCTGTTTAGATTCATATGCATGTGGTTGTTTTACATGGTTCAGTTAGAATCACAGAGTATTTAATAACGGCAGGTGTGTGCTGCTCTCTGCTGGACAACACTGGAGTGTAATACACCTCTTCACTTTGCTCTGTTATATGATATTAATGCCATGTGGAAAGTTCATATTACAATCATTTATTCACTTATTAAAGATGGAAGGTAAATGTCATTTTAACAATTTAAAATAAATACATACATACATATATTTGTCTTTTTTTATTCTGGATGTTTATCCAGTGTCCCTGTCAACAAGAACTTTGTAGTTATGGTTCTCTTCATTTCCAATACAGCCATTTTGATTGATATCTCTTGTTTTTGCTTTGATGGGAAATGAATGAAGTTGTGAGTTTAGAAATAGTTTGTTTTCTATTATACAGTGTTGCTGTCCTTAGAAGAAATAAACTTTCTTCAACAAAATGCATTTAGATCCATTTGAATCACACCAGGGCCTGCAGCCAGCATAATGGGTCACCAGCTTTCTTTGGCCTTACCTCATGAAGCTGGCTCACTGTTAGGGTTATTATCTGTTAAAATTGTGACCTTATGCTTGCAACCTAAGGTGAGTTTTATGATTGAATGTAAATGCCTCCGCTGAGTCAGATTGTTGTCATCAGGAAGGTTATTCCAGAATAACGGGGCGCGATGGGAAAAGACCCCGAATCCTGCTTTTTAAATCTGGACAGGGGACGGGATGGAGTATATGGTTTAAGGAGATCAAACACATGTGTGATGCGGTGCGTCCGCCCAGGATTATATGTCAACAGAAGCACACTAAAGTCTGATTTGACCAGAGATTTGTTTTTGATCCACCATCGCGCACGTCATTCTTATGAAAAACGGATCCTGCATCAGTTCTCTGCACCTACAGGGCGTGGATCATTTAACTTTTAGAACATGACATCTCATTGGTCAGCTGAATCAGGTGGCCGCTAGCCATCCAATCACAGACCTCTATGTTACATAGCCGCACTTGTTGCCAGTGAGCAGGAAGCTTCGTCATGATTTATTTACTGTCATCATCAACTTGTTTCTTCTTAATACATCTATGATTTCTAATTGAGTTGGAGTTAAATTAATCAGTAAATCACCGTCTCCTGTCTGCTGCTGCTGGAAAAACGTTAACGGTCACCTGTGGTTTGCGGCGTGACACTGACGGAGGAAAAACTAACCGGACAACTAGCCGCTAACGTTAGCCTGCTGCTCGGAGCCGGTGACCGTCAAAGGTGAGCACTGTTAGCATTTGTATTCCTCCAGAGGTTAGCTCAGAGAGCAGATCCACACAGCTATTCTAAATGGAAATATACTTTATGAGAGCTAGGATGACGGATGATAAAGCAGGCTTCCGTTAGCACATCGCCGCGCCTGTTGTCTGAAAGAGGACACTCCGAAAACAACGCAAATGCCCGGTGATTTACTCCCGGTTTGACAAAGTGTACACACCGCGTAGACACGACTCAGTGTGGGAGTTGTATCGTATGGTAGGAATGTTCTGGTAAATGCGGCACGGCTCACTCACCTATCCGTAATTTACTTAAGTAGAACAGTGTTCACGGTGTCGGCTATGGGTGTATTAGTGATGTGGTGGGTCCACGTTCTCATGACAAATTATTCAGTTTGACGGAGATTGTGCCTGTTATCAACGGTTTAAAAACGGATGGACAGATTTTTTTTAGCTTGAGTCCAATGTGGCTGAATTCATGGCGTAAGACTGAAGGTCAGCCTGCTGGATCCGCTGTGTTCAGCTCACCGACTTCTGTAGAGATACACATTCTAACCTGACATGCTAAAGATAAACAGCAGCACTGATGTGTGTGTCCTGGGCTGTCCACATACTTTTGGCCATCTTCTGTCATTCTTAGCACCGTCCTGTAGGGTGTGTATGAAACCACGTGTCTGTTTCTTCTCTCAGTCCTTAGGTGGTTGTTGCATGGGTGAGTGAGTGGCAGCCATGAGCGCCGAGCCTGATGCCCTGGCTGTGGTCAACCAGCTGCGGGACCTGGCCGCTGACCCCATGAACCGCAGGGCTATCGTTCAAGACCAGGGCTGCCTGCCAGGACTCATCCTGTTCCTGGACCACCCCAACCCCCAGGTGGTTTACTCCGCCCTCCTGGTGAGCTACAGCGCTGACACAGAGTGGATGGTTAGGGTCGGTCTGGCTGTTAAGATGGGAAGATGGGAAGATGGGAAGGAAAGCTTTTTTCTGTTTGCAGAAGAAATTAAATTAATGGACTTAATGTTGACTGAACTCAAGACTGGTGTGAACTCACTGGCGGATGGTTCTTTTTCTTTTTGTTCATAGCACATTTTAACATTTTGGCACTGATAATTATCAGTTTTAGCTTATCACACATTTTAACTGACTCGGGAATCTCTTTCGGATGCCTCCTGGGTACCTTCCTAGGGAGGTGTTCCAGGCATGTCCCACCGGGAGGAGGCCCCGGGGAAGACCCAGGACACGCTGGAGGGACTATGTCTCTCGGCTGGCCTGGGAACGCCTCGGCATTTTCCCGGAGGAGCTGGAGGAAGTGTCTGGGGAGAGGGAGGTCTGGACATCTTTGCTTAGACTGCTGCCCCCGCGACCCGGTCCCGGATAAGCGGAAGAAAATGGATGGATGGATGGATGGATGGATGGATAATTGTTGTCAGCAAATATTCAGACCCTTTACTTTCTGCAGTGTATTATGTAGATTTAATTTTAAATGGGAAAGTAGCTGTTTGCCTGTCAATCAGTGGCCCATTTTAGAATTTTTTGACAATCCATTAAAAATCAGAAAGTGAACCTACAGCACAGTGCAAACACTGACGGGTCTGAACACTTTATGAAGTGACTGCATTCCAGTGATGTTTGAGGATGAAGAAAACGACCTCCCTCCGTTCCCGGTTGTTCCTGACAGTCGTTCAGTTCAGACTTGTGCTGACAGAGATACAGAAAAGTTTCAGGTTGTTGTGACTTTTACGTTAAACGTGAGTCAGGTTTTTAATCGGACAAAAGTCTGATGTTAATTTACCGGACTAACATCTGACAGGGGCTATAATTCACACTGTGTTGTCTACTGTGACATTCAGGTCTGGAAAGTGTTTGGGTATTGTATTTCAGTTTGTTTGGCCTGTGACTTCGGTGTGTGCAGAGTTTCTGTTTCATCCCGGTTTCCTCAGTCTGCCTGTAATCGACTGTCATTACAGGCGATCCGGTACCTGGCAGAATGTCGAGCCAACCGAGAGAAGCTGAAGGGAGAGCTGGGCATGATGCTGAGCCTCCAGAACGTCATGCAGAAGTGAGTGTCTGATGTTTACCTGGTCAGGTATCTGTGTCAGCAGGTACCTGGCCCACATTCATCATGGGTCTCAGAGTAGAGCCAAAAATTTTCAGAGTGACACACTTTTGGTCCAACTTTAATCAATGTCTCTCGCTTGGGAAATCACTCCTATGTCCACTACACTGTAGGAGAGCTGCCGGGAGATGTGAAGGAGCTGTTTAACACCTACTGGCACTGAGCTCATGAAAAGTTACTGTATGGCCTAAAACAGAGTAGTTTTATGACTGATCTTGTGTGTGTCAATCACAAGCTGTACCAAAGGTTCATCGGTCAGTAGTTGAATTACTGTGCCTAAATTGAACACAGGAGTCTGGTTATACTTTGCTTCTTTCTGAGCGGTTTCCTCTTGCTCCGTCGTCCAGATCGACCACTCCTGGAGAGACCAAGCTGCTGGCTTCTGAGATCTATGAGCTCCTGCAGGCGTCCGGCAGTGCTGACTTGGAGCCGGCTGAGGAGGTTGTCAGCGGCCGCCGTAAGGCCCAGTTCTTCCTGGGCTCCAACAACAAGAGAGCGAAAACCGTCATCCTCCACATCGACGGACTGGACGACTCGGTGAGTGGTGGCAACATTAATTCATTCATTCATCAGTAAATGTTTCCATGTGCACCAGCAACCTGGTTATGTGTTGCACATGTAAACACTTTATCCTGGTTTTGAGGACAATGGATACCCTAGTCCTCTGTCTCTGCCGTTCTCATGAGGTTATTGTCCACTATTTTCTCCGGTTTAGCGGAGCTGGTGGTGACAGGTGGACCAGTGACAAGACACTCAGAGGACATTGAGCTGCATTATTAATAAAACTCCTCAAGCATTAAGGACTAAGACTCAGATGTCTGATGCAGGAACAATAACCTTGTCCTCTCCCGGCAGAGTCGGAGGAGTCTGTGTGAGGAGGCTCTGCTGAAGATCAGAGGCGTGATCAGCTTCACCTTCCAGATGGCTGTGAAGAGATGCATTGTCCGCATCCGGTCCGACCTGAAGGCCGAGGTGAGGCGAGACACACCTCCAAGACAACATGCTACTGTCCTCCCCCTCTTCCTCTTATTCATCGGCAGTGTTTCCTTGTCCGAAGCAACAGTTTTCCTCTCTGTTATTTCAATTTAATATCTTCATGATAAACATTCAAAATACCAACTAAAAGTCCTGATTTCCTAAAGACATGAAGACATTTTGTGAATTGAGTAATTCAGTGATCATTTCAGCAGGGTTTTAATTGTTGCTGCTGCTCCAGGAGGTCTGACTGCTTATTGTTAGGTTGCCCAAATTAAAATCGTACATCGATGAACTCAAATGACTGCAGTAACTTCAGACATCACATAAATGTAGAGGAGTAAAAGTAGAAAGGTGTGTCAAACAGTCTCCACAGCCTCATCACCTCAGAAAAAAACGCTCCACTAGAACTCATAACACTGTCAGAGATCCCAGGAGTCCTGGAAAACTTGGAATTGTTAAATAACTGAAGGGGACCTGGAAGATGAGTAAATAAACGTAAATAAACCAGAGCATCCTGGAAAGGTTGTGAGCATGTAGACCACCTTTATGAAAACAACAGATACATGACGTGAAGCAGCCCTCAGTGAGTAACCCAAGGTGTTTTTGTGCTCAGGCTCTGGCGTCTGCAATCGCCTCTACTCAGGTGATGAAGGCTCAGCAGGTGGTGAAAGGAGAGAACGGAGACGAGGTCAGTGTCGGTTTTTATTTTACTGCTCTCTGCTTAAATCATCTTGGCATGTTTGCTGGTGCAGCCTTGAATCCAACTGTACATCAGAAAATGGCCCTTAAAAGATCAGTGACCCGCTAAAGTGGAGAAACTCAGAAAATGTGACCAAGGATAAACTGAGCTGAGACTTGAAACAGCTGGGCACTTAAAGTGACTGAAAAATAGCCCTGGTAGTACAATAAAGTTTGTCAACAGCATCTAAATAAGTTTTTAACCCCCTCTATTTATCATATGAGTCAACGAGCTGGTGGTTTCTAACAGGACAGAATGTAGCTGTAATCAGGCCTAAGGTCGTCTCTCAGTGTTTGAGGTTCAGTATTTATTGTTTATTCTCTGAAGACCAATTGCATGCCATTCCACTTGTTTTATTTATCTGTTTCTACAGCAGCCTCCACCTCTGGGGCTCTGTATATACTGGTTACACTTACACTGGATAAATAAACCATTTAATATGTCTGTATTTGCTGGTGATGCTGGATAAATGGTCAGATTCAACGTGTATATTTGGGTGAAGTACTTGAGTTTTTTTTTTTTTTGTTTGTTTTAAGAACTGGTCTAGGTGAACTTCACAATTAACCAAGTGTCTGTAAACGAAGAACTGTAAACCCAGATTATCATTGGAAACTCAAAAGAAAAGATTCCATTTATCCAGCGTGGAGGAAATTTCACTTGAGATTTGTCCTTATGAGACCCTGATAAAGAACAATATAACAAGCAGAGAAGTCTGAGTTCATGAACTCTTTAAAGGTGTGGGTTGCCACTTAGGCACATTCTCCTCTTCCTCCTTGCTATGACCCTGGCCATTTTGTCAAGCTACATGTAGTTTCACTGTTTCTGGTGTGACCGTTTTGTGTGAGTGTTCTGTCCCTGGAGGATCTTTGTTTCAAGCTGCAGCTGTTATTTGGCTGGTATCAGGGGAAGTAGTTGTAGCAACCCGGAGTGCATCGCTCTCTGGAAGTTCAGTGTTCAGACTGGTCCCACTCTCAGGTTTGGATATGAAGCTACAGCCAGTAGCTGGTTGGCTTTGCTCAGCATAAAGTCTGGAAAGTGGTGGAAACAGCTACTCTGGCTCTGTCCGGGAGAAACACAAGCCACCTACCAGCTCACTGTTAAACTTGTTGCATCTCATTTGTTAAATCGATAAAGAACGGAGGTGTAAAAGTGACAGGTTGTGGTTTTAAAGGTGCATATGGTCCAGACTGTTTCTCGACTGTGGAGTCTTGTCATCACTAGAGCTTATTTCCCAAAACGTTGAATGAATCCTTTTATTACAATGAAAAGAAAAGAGACCCAAAACGTTCCCCAGTGGAACTCTGCACACAACAACTCCAAGTTCCAAAGCCCATTTTCCACCATCTGGTACCGGCTCAACTCGACTCACTTTTGGTACCAGATACTTGGTTTTTTGCTGCACACAGTCCCCTGCAGAGTAGCTGGTTGTCACAGCGAAAACTGGCCTGGCAGGCCAGGCTCAAAGCTGTTAGCATTTTCATCCTAGGAGTGTTATTATGCCACTTTATGAAGTTTTGATGATTATTTTCTCACCAAAAATATGTGGTCAGTCTATCCAGGTAATGCCAGTTACAAATTTCTGCTGATGTTTTCATCGATGCGATGACCTGCTAGCGTTCCAGCTAGCTAGCTCTACTGACCAGGCATAGCTGTAGCCGCATTATTACATTCAGTAACCTACGGGCTACGCGATAAAACGTACGATGTGGTGGTTCATGCAATATAATGGTTTTGTAGTAACAGAGGCTTGAGGTCGCCATAAATGTTACCCTCTAACAGTTGCGAGAGAGAAGTGGCGACTGTGATGAATGAATGAGCCACTGGTGTCATCACATGTAAACATCCAGGTTTGTCAGTGGCAAGATCACTGCAGAGAAGTGACGAGTTTCTGTGACCAGTCACCAGTCTGCAGTGTTTACACGTCACCGTTTGGTATTGCTCTGCTCGCTGGAACCTCAGCGGACGTAATACCAAAATAGAGTCGAGTACTATCCCCAACATTTGACTGACAGACAAATAAAAAAGGCGAGTAGAGTCGAGTTGAGCCGTTACCAGGTGGTGGGAAAGGGTCTTAGGTTTACATTAGAGGTGAACCCAGCTTTCCCAGCAAAATCCCACCATCCACATTATCAGGTGCTGCTGCAGGTCCAGCACAATGATCCAAGCTACCCTCCTTCCACACACTGCATTGAGCTTGTATCTGTAGAGTGATTTCCCTGTTGGTGTCTCCAGGTTTTGATCCCATTTGTGGAGGACGGTTCTGTAGAGGTGGAGCAGAACGTGGACCTGCCAGACTACCTGCCAGAGGATGAGAGTCCGTCTCAGGAGCCCGACAAGGCAGTAAGCCGGGTGGGATCCGGCCAGGACGGGACCAGCTGGCTGGGTGCCGCTGCCAACTTTCTGTCCCGATCCTTCTACTGGTGACCCTGCAGGACCACCGCCCCCTTCCTCCATTAAACCTCCCACCTCCTCTCTGAACCAAATTCCACCAGCTGCCAAATCTCTCAGCTGCAGAGACAAAAACTGAGTCAGAACCTCAAATAATAAAAACCGAACCGTGATCTGTCGGCTTGCAACACCTGTCACTTTAATGCCGAGACGAACACACAGCGGCGTGACAGGGGAGAGGAGGCGATCCTTCCAAACTCAAACGACAGGAGTGTGGTTTTAGTTTGACGTTTTGAGAGCTGTTGTGATGCTGTGTCTGTGAAACGGGTCTGTTACAAACCAAGTTGTCTTACCTGACAGGGGGTGTCCTGCAGCCAGCTAGAACACAGGGACCTGAACAGGACGCCCCTTCCTCTTTTCACCTTTTTATTATTTATTGACCAACAGACTGGCTTTTCTTCCTGATGCTGGACGTGTTTACAGGACGAGCAGCGTCAGGGTTCAGTCAGCTGCTGCCTTCAGTGTCTCTGATCCACAGACCTCCTGCTACTTCACTTGAAACTGATTTTATTTCAGCTCTGTGCTGTTCAGTCTTTAAAGTGTCAGAAATGATGACAGATGCCCAACACGCTAAGAAAGTGTCAATATGCTTGTCATGGAAAGAGACTATTTTAAACTTTGAACTCCTCATCTGTTAATACAAGAGGTTTGGAGTAGCACCTTTATCGCTGATTTAAAAACAGAAGTTCAGTTGTTAATATTTCTGAACTGATTTAAAAGAACAGTACCAACCAGTCAAACTCTTTTTGAATTTCTTCTTAACAGTTTTTTCTCGCCTGTGTTAAACAACCTATTTCAGGCCGCCTCAGGAGTGTGCACGCTGTGCTGGACCAGTCAGGTTTCCTTCCACACTGAGCTCAGGTTTAACTGAAGTTCCAGAAAATGATTCAAAGTAGAACAAGACAGAAGTCCCGTCTCCGCCCTCCAGCTGTGTGAGTCTGGTCTGAGCGATGGAGACGAGCATCAGGTGGAGCCGGTTCTCCGCTCGGTGCCATCAGAAGAAGATGAGAGCACTGGTCAAAGCTCAGCGATGGAAACAAGATGGAAGGGGCTGATGCATCTGCACCCATACAGCATCTGGACAGAATGAGTTGACAGACTTCAGTCTGTCTTTGATGCTTGTTGGAGGCTCTTTGCAGGTCGGACAGGCATCACGTGCACAGAGTGACAGAGGAGCTGTCAGAATGAGATGACACGTCTGTATCCTTACAGGTGCACAGTGACCTCAGCTCTGCTCATACCCCATTTGTCTGATTGTCACAGACAAAAGGAAGCAGCTGTGTGCATGAGCAGAGCCTCTGAACCCGAGTCAGCTGTTCTGGCATTTTCAGACCACATCGCTGTGGGTGTTTGTCATCATTTCTGACTGGTTGAGCCAGAAAACTAAAGCGATCAGTAGTCCTGTGATGTTACTGCACCTGTGGATCCACAGGTTTGGTCAGTGCCTCAACACAAACACAGAGGTCATCAGGGTTCCTGACCCAGATGTTGTGTTTACACCCCTGATTATTTTTATATCTTAAACTCTTTCTTCCGAGGCTCCCTGTGGATCAGACACTGAGCTCACCATGGCGGTATTTTATGGAGCGACGTTACCGGTTTTTTACTGTTTCTTTGTCTCGTGAACAGATGGTTGATGGGAAACAGTCTGAGGATGATGTTTTTAAATAGAAATCTGTTTTAATCATGGATCTTTGTTAGAAAGACTTTTGTGTGCATGGGGGGGGTTGGGTTACAGGGTTACAGCCAGTGTAACAGGAGCTGACGGATGATTAAAGAGCCGAGTGAACACTCTTCTGAACGACAGTATTTATCACCGGATACAACCGATAGCACTGTTTCATTGGATGGGAGTTCCCATGAAAGCACTGGGGGTTTTCCAGAAGAAGAGGCCACATCCTGTTTCTTCCTGTTGTGTCTTGAAATGGAGTTTTCTGTTAAAACTGTCTGATTTCAAAAAGCAAAGAAACTGACAGGTGTTTTATTTAAAGCGCAGTAGAAGAAAATCGCAGTGAGGGCTGGTAATCGGGTGAGCTGCCGTTTTATTTTGAAATGCCAGCAGTGTTTCCTCAGATGGTGAAGCAGCTTTTAATGACTTTGTACAGATTTTTATCCTGATGTGATGCTGTTCTTAGTTTCTGTGTTCATGTACCTGCCAGGTGTGCTCACAGCTCCACCTACACTGTGCACTGTCCAGTCACACAGTAGCCTGTTGTTACGTTAGCATGATGCTTGAACTTAAATGCAGCATCGGCCCAAATACAAGACGCCTGTCATGAATAAAGCATCTGGAGTTTTGTTATTAACAGACCTGTTGAATGTTTCCTCACTTTTGCAAAGCCAATTCATTTTCACTGAAGAAATGACATTTGGCTACAATGTAAAGTAGTGAGTATAACAATGTAAATGTGCTGTCCCCTCAAAATAACGCAACACACAGTCATTAATGTATAAACTGCTGACAACAAAAGTGAGTACCCAAAGTGTCAATATTTTGTGTGGCCACCATTATTTTCCAGCACTGCCTTAACCTCTTGGGAATAGAGTTCACCAGAGCTTCACAGGTTGCCACTGGAGTCCTCTTCCACTCTTCCATGACAACGTCACGTAGCTGGTGGATGTTAGAGACCTTGTGCACCACCACCTTCCGTTTCAGGATGCCCCACAGATGCTCAATAGGGTTTAGGTCTGGAGACACGTTTGGCCAGTCCATCACCTTTACCCTCAGCTTCTTTCGCAAGGCAGTGGTCATTTTGGAGGTATGTTTGTGGTCGTTATCGTGTTGGAATACTGCCCTGCGGCCAAGTCTCCAAAGGGAGGGGATCATGCTCTGCTTCAGTATGTCACAGTACATGTTGGCATTCAGGGTTCCCTCAATGAACTGTAGCTCCCCAGTGCCGGCAGCACTCATGCAGCCCCAGACCATGACATTCCCACCTCCATGCTTGACTATAGGCAAGACACACTTGTCTTTGTACTCCTCACCTGGTTGCCGCCACACACACTTGACACCATCTGAACCAAATAAGTTTATCTTGGTCTCATCGGACCACAGGACATGGTTCCAGAAATCCGTGTCCTTAGTCAGCTTGTCTGCAGCAAACCGTTTGCGGGCTTTCTTGTGCATCATCTTTAGAAGAGGCTTCCTTCTGGGACGACAGTCTTGCAGACCAATTTGTTGCAGTGTGTGGCGTATGGTCTGAACACTGGCAGGCTGACCCCCCACCCCTTCAACCTCTGTAGCAATGCTGGCAGCATTCATACGTCTATTTCCCAAAACCAACCTCTGGATATGACGCTGAGCACGGGCACACAACTTCCTTGATCGACTACGGCGAGGCCTGTTCTGAGTGGAACCTGTCCTGTTAAACTGCTGTATGGTCCTGGCCACCGTGCTGCAGCTCAGTTTCAGGGTCTTGGCGATCTTACAGCCTAGGCCATCTTTATGTAGAGCAACAATTTGTTTTTTCAGATCCTCAGAGAGTTCATTGCCATGAGGTGCCATGTTGAACTTCCAGTGACCAGTATGAGAGAATGAGAGCGATAACACCAAATTTAACACACCTGCTCCCCCTTCACGCCTGAGACCTTGTACGACTAACAAGTCACATGACACCAGGGAGGGAAAATGGCTACTTGGGCCCCATTTGGCCAGTATTACTTAGGGGTGTACTCACTTTTGTTGCCAGCAGTTTATACATTAATGACTGTGTGTTGCGTTATTTTGAGGGGACAGCACATTTACACTGTTATACAAACTGTAGACTCACTACTTTACATTGTAGCCAAGTGTCATTTCTTCAGTGTTGTCACATGAAAAGCCAAGTGCCATTTCTTCAGTGTTGTCACATGAAAAGACATGGTTAAATATTTACAAAATGTGAGGGGGTGTACTCACTTCTGTGATATACTGTATACTTAAAGTAAAAGCATTCGTAGAGTGGCACTCTTGACAATGATGCATCATGTTAAGGTCGCAGCTGCTGAAGGTGGAGGAACTAATGTATATGCTTAGAATTTGAATTAAGGTGTGTAGCCGGTGAGTTTCCCACCAGGGATCAATCAACTCTTAAACTGTATGTTGTTTTATTGAGCTGATTCTGAAAAGTAACTAGTAACTAAAGTTGTCCAAAAATATAGTGGAGTAAAAGTACATTTGCCTTGAAATGAGGTGAAGTTAAAGTTTGAAGCACACAAATGCAAATACTCAAGTACACATACCACAAAATTGTACTTCAGTACAGTACTTGAGCAAATGTACTTAGTTACCTCTCACCACTGCGCTGCACTCCAATGATGTCAGAGTGATGTCATCAGGCTCGGAGACTCCGTCCCCTCCTGATGCTGCCGTGTGATCGGTATCCGTTAATGTGATGTTGTATAATGTGGTTTGACGAAACTAGGCAATTTACTTCACTACAGTTACAGGATTCTCCTACTCCTACTCCTTTGTACTGCTAGTGTTGTGAACTTAAGGGGTGCTATTATAAAAATTGCCACCACACTACTCCTTTTCAGAGACAAGTATTGTAGTTTTACTGCAGTGCATTTTCAAGAGTGGTGTTGGAGGTGAGTAGTGGCTTCAGACTCTGTCTTGGCTGGCTTCCTGTTTCACAACCACTGATGTTTCCCAGCTGTGAGCTGCTCCGGAGGGGTCTGGTGCATTGCATTGTGGGAGAACAGCGTGTCAAAGATCAGCCGCATTTAGTCTGAATACTCTGTGTCTGAGTAAGAAGAAGAAGCTTTATTTATTGTAACACGTACAACGATGTTTGGCCGCTGCGTGCATATGCGCATGGGGGGCTTCAGTGTCTTGCCCAAAGACACTTCGGCATGTGGACTGCAGGCACCGAGATTCGAACCTTCAACCTTCAAGTGCAGAACCTCATAACAGCAGCGTCAGTGTTCTCGTGAGCGCACTGTATGCTTACTGAACCTGTGAAACTTCAGCGTGTTGGCACCATAACACCTGAGACAGCAGACAGGTGTCATCTGTCTGGGCCCGATGGGACGAGTATTCGAATACTTCACTGGAGTAAAAGTAGCAGTATTCACTATGAAAATGCTTAAGTACAAAAATATCAGCATCCAAATCTACCTGAAGTACCAACAGTACCAGTACTCGTCCTGCAGATCGGCCCGTGTCCCAGTAATGTCTCTGATACTACTGGATCATAGTGACTGATGCGTTACTGTGTCTATCACTTTAATGCTGCAGCTGGTAAAGGTGGAGCTGATGGTAACTACCTTATACACTTATATACTGTGAGGTACTTTCTATCCTGCTGGGTAGCTGGTGGATTTCCCACTGGGATCAATAGAGTATGATGGTTCTACTGGTTTTGATTTATCTGATTCTGGAAAGGAACTGAAGTTATCAGGTACATGTAGTGCAGTAAAAAGTACACGGTTTGTCTCTGGCACGGAGTCACAGTATGAAGCAGCAGGACCTGGAAATACTCCAGACTTTTAATTGCTTTTTAATGAAGTGCAGAACCTCATAACGGCATCATCATCGTTCTCAACGACATTACTGGGCGTGTGCGTGTACTCTTTACGGGAACGTCCTCTGACTCATTTATCGATCATCGTTTACTGACGAGTCACATTCATGTCCGTACTGTACAGTAGACGCTGGCCCCAGCCAGGAGGAATGAGGTTACCGGAAGTTAGCGTGCTCGGCCTTCAAAATAAGGAAATACCGTATGTTGTAGTTTTTAGCCTGTTGCACGCGTGTTAATAATGTTTAATGTTTAAGCAGCGGCGATATGTTGGTGTTTTCTCTACAGGACACTTTATGAAGCTGAGCCGATGTCGGGGGAACTTCACGGTGTTGTTGTCAGTTGCTGTCTCATCTGCAGTCTTCAGTTATTACCTTCATCACTGACCTTCATCACAGATGTTACACAGCCACAGTTCAGTCAAACACATAAAGCCCGACAATGTGTCTGAGTCCAAGATGAAAACAAATGGAGCCGTACTTCGTCCCCAGTGAGATGCAGTCGCAAGGAGATGTTCACTGGGGGACGTGCAGGACCAGGACTCGGTCCGGTGGAACCAGTGGCCGCGTTTGTCCGCGTTTTAAACTGTGGTCTAGAATAAAAACCAGCCCCGGCTGCTGAAAATCCCAAATTCCCCGAAGTTTCTGGTTTAAGCGCCAGTTAATGGAATATGTGTAGATAAATATGTTTCCGTCTTCACTGTGCTTGTACAGTATGAAACATATTCACAAACCGTGTCGACAGCCAGTCACGGGGCTCGGCTTCATGTGAGGACCTGAATTTTGAAGGTTGTCCCGGAACCTGTGTGTGTGTGTGTGCGTGTGTGTGTGTGTGTGTGTGTGGTGTTGCGGGGAGGTAGGACTCGGTGTCGGTGCTGGTACCCGGACAGACCTGGACCATGGCCCCGCTGCTGCTGCTGTTCCTCGGCCTCCTCACCCTGCTCCTGTGCGTCCTCCGCCGCAGGAACAGGTCAGTCCTCCGTTCCATCTCGGCTCGGTTCGGGTCGGACACGGATTTAATAAGTCCTGTGGGTCTCTTAACGAATTTCAGAGCGGGCTCTTCAGTTCTCCTCAGAAATAATTTTAAAATCAAAAGAAAACTTTTCAGGCTCAAGAACCTTAGAACAGTTTATTATAGGACTTTTTCTATGTTTATTTTAAATCTGACTAATTTATAACATTAAACAAACACATATATATTATATATAGGCTATATGTTAACGTTTCATAAATAGAACAGAGTCCTGTCCAAAGTTCACTGAGTCGGACAGGTCCAGACTGAGCCCGGAGGAATTTGACTTGTGTAAATTCACACAATTTCAACATGTTTAATCTGGAAACTGTAAAGAGCAACAACACATCGTCACGTTACAGCTGGGTTGGAGGCTATTTCTGACTTTTGTCGTGTTTTGTTGTGTAAAAAAAATGGCTGAAATGATAATTGATGATTGTATAAAATAGTTGCAGATCGGTTTATATGGCGCCAGATCGATGACTTTAGTCTTTGGTGCTGAAAAATAAAGCTTGGCATTGAAAACAAAACCGTAACTGAAAAAGCAAAAATTGGCATTAAAAAGTATTAATACTGGGGAAATGACAATCTTCTGACTGGGGGGAGAGTAAAGTGTCTAGTTAGAGCATTTGCACAGATTGTACAGCTCCGAGCGAGAAAAAAGATTTCACAAATATAGAATGCTGTTTATTCTCTCCCTGATGATCTAGTTCTGATTTGTCTAAAAAGTGGCCTGGAAGGGGAGGGGGAGGGGGGTCCTTTATTGTGATTATTCATAAAGTTTCACTGAGTCTTAAGGGTTTTTCTAGAATGTCTAAAACCCTTTCACAACATTTAGAGGTGTAAAACCAGAGAAAATGTCGTATCTCCCTTTACTGAAGCCAACTTCAGCGTCATAAGGCTTCTCCACTTTCACCACAAGCTTTCAGTTCATCTCTTTCACTCTGCTGGCATCTTTCTGCTCCAGACGGACCTAAAATTCATCAGCCCCAGAGTCATCTAACATTAATGTGTGGGAGACGGTCTGGGAAGACCCCACAGAAAGTCTTTAACAGCTTTGACCTGCTGATGTTAGCTACAGGTAACATGAGCTATATTAGGCATAGTCTATGTGTAGCTAGCATTAGCATTACCTCTGCCACAGCAGCATAATGTACAGTGGGTACGGAAAGTATTCAGACCCCCTTAAATTTTTCACTCTTTGTTATATTGCAGCCATATGCTAAAATCATTTAAGTTCATTTTTTTCCTCATTAATGTATACACAGCACCCCATATTGACAGAAAAACACAGAATTTTTGACATTTTTGCAGATTTATTAAAAAAGAAAAACTGAAATATCACATGGTCATAAGTATTCAGACCCTTTGCTGTGACACTCATATATTTAACTTAGGTGCTGTCCATTTCTTCTGATCATCCCTGAGATGGTTCTACACCTTCATTTGAGTCCAGCTGTGTTTGATTATACTGATTGACCGTGATTAGGAAAGCCACCCACCTGTCTATATAAGACCCTACAGCTCACAGTGCATGTCAGAGCAAATGAGAATCATGAGGTCAAAGGAACTGCCTGAAGAGCTCAGAGACAGAATTGTGGCAAAGCACAGATCTGGCCAAGGTTACAAAAAAA